TACTTTTATCTTGTTCTTACAAGTTGTAATCTTGCTTCTGCAATCCTTGTGAATTTCTACTTTTCTAATCTCTCTGTTCATCAATCTCTCATTTTATTACTCAAGAATTACCCAATAGGTTTAATGATTTAAACAGTCTTCTGTGACTTTAAACCAGAACTCACAACTCGTCTGATCTCTCTCGCTTTCACAAGTTTGATTTACTTTTATGTTTTACAAAAGTTTTTTGTTATTTTTTCTAAAAAATAACTGGCACGTCTCGAACCTCTCTTTCCTCAAAGAGATTCAACGTCAAAGACCTTTTTGAGCGTACAAGAAAATTTTGGCACAACACAGATTGAGTTATATAACAACTCAGATGTATTAACGATCTCTTTAAAGTTTGTCAAAGTCAACATATTTTTTGTAATAAATACAAAAAAAATGAATGTCATAATTTCATTAGGAAAAATACTAGTTCAACATATCGCCACCAGGTCTCTCACCTTTATTTGAGATTCTCGGGATAGGAATCGAATAACTTAAGGACATGTACATGTGCATATGGTGCGTTTGATCTCCCACACAATTCATAGTTCATCCGGCCGATTTGTCGGTTTTTCTTAATTTCTTTCTTGATTTGTACGAAACATGTATATATATATATATATATTATATATCTATATCTATATTATATTAAAAAGTACGTTCAGGATCCTTACTCCAAATAGTCTTGACAAATGATGATTGAGACGAGATTCGGCGTTTTTGAACCACAAAACGCTCGGTTTCCATTTCGGTTGTAGGTGTAACCAACCCGCTATTAAGGATATGGCAGAAAGAAATAATAGAAAAAGAGCTCCCGTATAAAGATCTTCATTAGTACGTAACCCGATTGTATACCACCACTGATAAACACCAGAGTAAGCGATATTCACTGGACCAGGAGCACCCCCTCTAGTAAAAGCCTCCACGGCTGGTTGACCAAAATGAGGATCCCAAATTGCATGAGCAATCGGTCTTACGTTCAGCTGTAAAACTTTTGAATCGCCTATCATACCCTTATTTGTCAAATATATTTCTAAATTGCCATTGTTTAGGTTTTATAGTTTTAGTCAACTAAAAACTCTATTTTTATTTAATTAAATATAATATCTTTATAACAATTTTATTTTACCATTTTACTATTTTACTCAACTAAAAACTCTATTTTTATATAATTAAAGCTAATATCCTTATAACTAAAATATTTTAACCATTTTACTATTTTACTCAACTAAAAACTCTATTTTTATATAATTAAACCTAATATCCTTATAACTATTATATTTTACCATTTTACTATTTTAATTAAAAAACTTGATATATTAGTTTTTTTAAATATATTTTTTGAATGAAATTGTTTAAACTTTTACTATTTTTTTTAAAAATAAACTTTTGCAACTGAAAACACTATTTTTATTTAATTGAATTCAATATTTTTATAATTATTTTTTTACTATTTTAATTTTAAAATTTTCAATTAAAATATAAACCAACGAAAGTATTATTATCAAGTTTAAAAGTTAAAATAAGTAGTCTAATCATTAATTATTCATATTTTTTAAAACTAATTAAGTTAAAAATTTATTTAAAATTTAATTATAGTGATTGGTCTGTTTTTATTTTTGGAGCATGTTGGTATAACAAGAATTTAAAACTTTTAAAAATGAGAAGAAGAGTAACATACAATTATTTCCTTTGACTTACAAAGTTAAAGATGTCATTCGAGCGGGTTGGACGGGTTTTGGGTTATCGTCACTTGGGTTTAGGTTAAATGAGTTAGGTAATTTTCTCGGCTCATACGGGTTATCGTTTATTTTTCTGGTCAAATCGGGTTCGATCGGATTGGACGAGTTATTGGGTTCGTGTCAAGTTTTGACAACTCTACTTATAATTAACGGGTCACGTGCAACGCACATGGGAGTGAAGACTAGTATAATAAAATAGATGTTTGGTTGGCCATTACAAAATCATGTATGAATCCAAAATATTTAGTATTTCCAGGATAATATATCAATCTTGCTTGGGATTTCCATTAACAATAAGGACGACGACTTTGGAGGCAAAAGTGTAGCAAAAGTTTGTGTGATGAAAATTAAAAGTCTACACAAAATTTGTCATTTCTTGCAAATCTTCTGCCCATTATTCCCGGTTTATTTGGACCCCAATTAATTAAAACCCTTATCTTCAAATCATGTATTTGGAAGTGGAATCCAAATAGGAATATGCTATAAATTTTTTATGTATACACATAAGCGACTCTCATACGTTAAGCAACAAAAAAAAAAAAGTACGAGGTTTGCCCTTATTAATGGAAAATTCTGCAACTAAATTAATTAAAAGAACCCTTTAATAATAATATTCTAAATTCTGAGTATAGAATAGAAATTTGATTTCTTTTTTAAATTGGTTGGTACGTCCGTCCAGAGAATTCGAGCTCAAATAAAGATAAATTAATAACTTTGTTGAATGTTTAAAGAATTTTCATTTAGTTAATTAATTTTTTAAAAAAAAAAACAAAAAAACGTATAAGTCAACAAAGTAGACCTACTGATCAGCGGGATGGGGTCGGAATCCTAGTTTCATGTTCTTGCGTCAGAAACAACAAAAATTGCTTAAGATAACTCTCCTCAAATGGAAAAAGCAAAAAGAAAAAGAGAAGAGAATAAATTGAGAAAGACAACAAAAAATGCAATATACACAAGAGCAATAATGAGGCATATAATATCTTAGGGTAAATTCCATCTATCTATGATCCTAAACATAAAATTTTTAAATTACCATTTTAATCCTTTACACCTAATGACCTAATCGATTTCCACTTTACTTTTTATTAATCTTAAACTGATGATGTGAATCTTTTACCCTTTAAATTAATATAACTAAATTGGTTCAACTGATCTTCTCATTACATTATTCCATTAAATAATTAATTAAGAAAATACCCATGTAAGGGAATCCCCAAATGGCATGCTGCATAATCTAAAACATCACCGTGATGAAGTAATAATTTGATGAAAAGACTAAAATGTATAAAATCAGTACTTGAAAAACTTGTGGATGACCTAAATGAAACAAATTAGAGACTAATCAAGGACTAATTGAAATTGGAGTAAAAGGTTTGAGATTGAGACCATCGCCCAACATATATTTTCTATATAATAATTAATCCAAGTAAACCTAACTAAGCATATAATAAAACCATAAAGATTATCATAATTTTTTACATGCATCATTTTCACCTTATTGTAAACTTAATTAATTACGGGTAAATTAAAGACAAATCAACAAAAGGGAAGATAAATAATTATATATATGCCCAAAACTTTAACACTTTGAGACTGCAATTGTAGCTAAGATTTGATGGTGGTGGTTTCAATAATATGAGCAATCTTTGTCCTTGAAGATGACTTCAAAGAGCTAGCTAAAATAGAGATAAAACCCACGTGTCTTGATCAAGTTGGACCGTCCTAGCAAGTGATTGAAGTGAATTGAAACTAATCCCATGAAGTACAAAAGAATTCTTATATGCACAAACAAATGAAAAACATGTCCGAATTGCAGACCAAAAAAAGAAGTTGGTCAAATGTTGTTTCCATTTATGGAATTAATTATATAGATGGATTGGTCACCTTGATCAATGGGTATGTATTTGGACATGCATATACTTATAATGCAAGATGTAAATTATTGTCATTTTTTGGCTACTCGACATTTGATTGGAAAAGCAAGTTTTGGTTTATTCCCTTTTATATTCCTTTATATATATTTATTTCTTATGCACCTCTTTTTTTCGAATATATATTAATGTACCATGTCCAAGCTTGAGTCACATTGATTGGCCTATTTGTTGAACAATTTAATAACTAAATTTTGTTTTGTATGTATGCCGTATAATATTGCTCAAGCATAAAACTATACTTACTTCCCCAATCTACAAATGTTTTATCATCTTTAATTAACTGTCACCCTTGAAAGAAAACATTTTTTTAATTAGCACACAATAATGGGTCCTCATCAATGGATTCATCATGTTGCCTAATTAATATAAATATATTATTATTATATATATATTATTATTGTTATTATTATATTATATATATGAAGGGACAAAATCCTTCATTTTCTCTTTTTCTTTTGGCATTTAAATGTCTACGAAGACAAGAGTCAAGGGTGAGAAAGAAAAATTAAGATGAAGACCTTTTTTGGACTTATTAAGGCATATATATAGTATAGTTTAGTGTCTGCCAAAAAAAAAGCATAGTATATTGAGTTCTAGGTTGCCATCTTCACTTTTGAAATTCTTCAACCCAATCACATTCGGCCGGAAAAAAAATCCCAATCACATGGCAAGAAAAGCCCATTGGTATTTGGTACTCCTCCAGAAGATCAACTAATTAATAATACAGAAGTAAGACAAAATTGCTCAGTTTGGCCGGCCAATTCCTTAATCTTGTACCGGAATATTTTCTATCCTTTTGGAATATTTCACATATCAAGCACATTTCTCTAGTAATTCCCTTTCTTTTGGAGTAATTTGTACAATTGTTAAGAAAATAGATTTGATTCTTTTAAGGTGTATTTTCGCTTAAATTATTTGTTGGGTTTCTCAAAATCCTATGTTATATGCATGGAAGTAATGAAAGGGCAACTTCTTAGGTTTTGCAAAAGCTATAATATATATAATATAATAATAATAATAATAACAATATCTTAGATTATTTTTACATTTCATTTTAAGCAAGGACTGATACAAACAAAGCTGCAGATGAAGGTGTGTTTTGCAGTGGCCGGTGTTTGTTTGTCTTCATCACCTCATGGAGTGTGGTGATTTTAGTTTTAGTGGGTAACAATTTCCCAAGAACAATGTGATCGATCTCCAATCATGCACGGGATATGTTCATTTTAATATTTAGGTAATGATCAATGTGTTCATTTAATATTTAGGTAATGATCAATGTTTCATATTTGGACTAGATGGTCGAATAGCTCAGTTGGTAGAGTATAGACTGCAAATTCTTGTGTCACCAGTTCAACTCTGGCTGGCATTTGATATTATCGTCGATCAAATAATATTATTTTGCTTGCAACCTTGTTTTTTAATGATTTATCCCACCTTATAACCACTATATATAGATAGATAAAGAAGGATAAATCTGATCTGATGATCATCAAAGAATATTATGAAAATAGGCCAAACAATACTTATCAAAGTTTTCTTTTCTTTGATCTCAACAAGAAAAAAATAATAATTTTTTTATATACATAGATCATATAGGTTGGTCTACATTAATTTTATAAATGCATGATTTTCTTTCAAACAAAAGCAACATGAACTTCACCTAAATAATTTTTTTTGGGTGAAAACCTACATAATTTATTTGTTAAATTGTATATAAATTCTTTTAATCGTTGTCTAACCTTTCAACTTGAAAATATTTACAAAAATAGCTCAAACAAGGTTACGTTATTGTTTATCCAAGAAATAATTAAAAAAAAAACAAACAAACAAACAAAAAGGAGGCAAGAGGTAGCAAAAAGGGGAGATAAGAACCAAAATTAAAGGCAATATTGGAGCAAATTGAAACATGAAAACTAGATGCCAATGAGGATTGTCTACTCTGGTGCATTTAGATTCCGAAGTATATAAATGGAAAGGGATTTGCACTAAACGCAAAAAGAGACAATAAGAAGAACAAAACATACCGTGAAGGCAATGCCAAAATCAAATATAGCTCTCATATATAGTCATAGACATAGCAATAGCAATCTTCTTGGCCACATGCCCTTTGTCTTTTGCTCTAATTCAATGCAACTAGACAAACAGATAACTCACTCACGTATGTGATTAGTAATTGTAGTGCAGTAATTGTGCGCCCTGTATGTATATACACACACACACTAATTGGCTCTTCATTTTCTTTCGAATATGAACTTTCTATATCCAAACTAAATTTCTATTTGAATCATACATGCCAAATTATTTATTAAAAAAAAATCTTGCAAAAATAGTAACAATATTTTATAAATAATGTAAAATAAAAGTGGCGATCTTGACATGTACTAAATCGGCCTTGCTAAAGACAAAATGGTGATGAAAATTGAAAATTGATGTCTTGGTGAAAATTGAAAAGTATGAATAACAAATTATAAAGTAGGGTTAGACTTTAGATATATATAGCTAACATTTTTTCTTATGGTCTTCTATTCATACTCCTTTTTCGGTATAGTCTTGGATTCAATCCTTTAGAAATGTAGTTTTCAAATAATTGTCCATAAATATCACTTCGAATTTTTAAAAAAAAAAACGAAAAGAAAAGAAAGAAGAAGAAAGTATGCCACAAATATTATAGCATGGTTAAAGCAATTGACCTAAAGTGAATTATTTGAAAACAAGTAGTTGATCCCATAGTGTGAAATGTCTATACTTTTTGGAAGGAGCTAGACCTATATATGCATCTATGTTTTCCTATTATGTCGAATCAACTTAATCAATGTCATGTGTTTGGTCTTTATTTTTTCTCCCTGGAGTGATTCAACATATGTTTATATAAGCAAATCGGTCACTTGCATTAATTGTTTGAGGGTGACCAAAATAGAATTCTAGGGTAAGGGATAGCATGAATAATACAAATCATTTTTAAAAGATCCAAACATATCATGGTTACTTGATGATGATAAACTTGTATATGGGTTGAGTTATTCGTCCAAACCCATATATAGGTCACTCCTTAAATAGATTCAATTACTTTTAGAACCAAATTATATGTTAATAAAATTTAATTTTAATACTAAAATATTAATACAAAACTAAGTAAAATTTTCCTTTCAAAAAAAAAACTATAGTGAAATTGAAGTAACAACCATGAACATGAGACAAAAGAAAAAACAAAAGGGAAGAAAGCAACTCATTTGAAAAATAAAAGGATGACTTTTTTTGGGTTTTTTCTTTCCATCTAATTTATGTTTTTTGGGAGCACATGGTATTATGCAAAATTGGTTTTTTCAATCTCAAAACACAGAAGAAAATTACAAAGAAGCATTGAAGAAGACAATAGAAAATTACAAGAAAGAACCCTTTGATGAAACTGCTTCTTGCATAATCTTCCTTGGGCACATGCATTGTCCTCTTCTACTATGATTTCTTGGACATTGCTTTTGTACCCAAATCTTCTTAAGTTTTAATCGTTTTCAAGTCAGTCCAAGATACCTTAGCCATCATTGAAGAAAATAAAAAAGAAATAAAACAATTTGGAAAGATAATAGAAGAAAAAAATATGGGGACTCTTATGGAAACTCCCCCCAATTTTATATCAGGATTTCATGGTGGATAATGAAAACCAGATAATAATTCTTCAAATTGGAGCATAATATTCAATTTCTAGAACTATTAAATTAAATTAAATCGTTTGTTATTATTGAATTAATAGTTTTTTCATGGAATATATGATAATCTCCCATAAATAAACATGGGTCATGGTTTGGGCCCATGAGAGCTAATTGTTGGGCCAGAAAAGCCCAAGTCAAATCCCATATCCACCATTCATTTCTTCTCCCAAAGCATTGCACATATATGATTTGTGTCATAACATATGGAGTAAAACATAAATGAGGGAGAGAGACTAATTTCAAAACAATTTCAAATATGCAGTCAAATTGTTCGCATATTTTGTTTTTGTCTAATAATAATAACCTGTAAGGAAGGTTGCTGCTACGGCTACCGGCAAGAGTCGACGATAAAGAGTTCCCAAGCACTTTGACAGGTTGTTAAATCCTATATATATGCATCAACCATAAGATCGTATTAGTTAGCAAAAGCTTTAACATAGTAATTGAGAGTGATAATCAACAAGGAAAACTGTGAAATTGTGATAAAAACGAGTGGAAAACATAGTTAATTACCATAGCCATCTGAGCTTGAACTACTCGGTGGTGGCGGTGGCGGCGGTTGCGGATGTCCCAGCGGCAGATTCAACCCGAGTCCCTCACAGTCGGCTCCTAAGTAGCCTGTGACGAAATGAAATTTGAAAGCAACCAACGGTTCAATTAATAAAATCGTTAATTAATACTATATTATTAATCTGAACACAAGATCAAGGTTGAAACACTTACATGGTTTAAAACAAGCTAACTCAGAGGAACCAAACAAATTCTCTGATCCTTGATCGCACTGGCAGATATGTCCTGTTCCATTGCTCACACATTTCCCATCACCACACCAAACAAGATCACAATCTGTGAAGTCAAATTTTGAAAAACATGTAAAATTAGAATTAAGGAGCATTCCAAAAAAAAAAAGAGTTTCATTGAAAATGAGTGTAATGATTTGATATATTTACGGTTAGTCTGATTCGTCAATGGCGGAAGAGAAGCAGGAGGTGGAGGTGGAGACTGAGATCCATTGCCACAATTAAAATCAACTGTGCCTGAAATAGAATAGAAAAGAAAACAGATTATTATGGCATTAAGTTTCTTCTTTGGGAAAATGAATTCAAATCATGCTAACGAATCTCATAATTACTATTGATCTTAATTGATATGAGAGTTTCAAGAACATTAAATGAAATTCCAACTTTGACTTTTAGCTATTTATGGAAGAGATACGGCTGTTGCAAGTAATTGTCTCTAATTTGTAAAAAAATTCGAAATTTAAATAGTAAGTACTATCAAGACGATATTTTCCAAAGATAATTAAGAAGCAACAAAAATTAGGCCAGGGTTTGGCAGAATGCAACCAATAAAACTAAAATGAGAGAAAGAAACCAGAAAGCAAAAGATTCAGCACTGGCAAATTCAACCACAAGATATGTAACCCTAGTTAGTAACATGTTTTCCATCAACCCTTTGATCATCCTAACTATTTACTACTACAAATTTCTGGCAGTAAAAAGATTTTGGCAAGACAAACAATCATATATACGTAAATAATAACATATATGAAAGTAGAGAGAAAGGCAAGGAAACTGACAGTTGGGAATGAGACAAGCAGGGAATGTGAAAGGACCAATCTGAATCTTTTTCCAACCAGGATTACATTCGCATTCGAAACCAAGCAGGGATTTGTTGGAAGCCTTGCATGATCCTTCCCCACATTTTATAAACGAACAAACAATATCTGCAACACATGTTCCATTATATCACTAACAATGGCAGAATCCAAACCCAATCATAACTGAAACAGTTCATGAAGAATAATTATAAAGCCTTACCTTCAAATGGATTCAATAGATTTACTGACACATGTGAAGAAGAAGAAGTTGCTGTTACAGTTGAAGTAGAGACACATAAGAGAATAAGAAGAAGAAAAGAAGAGAGATTGAAATTCAAACTCTCCATTGGTGCCAGAGCAACGAGGCAGAGCAAGTTGGTGTAGACAGTTAGATGTATTTATAGCAATAAAGTCACAAGCAATGGATCAAGGGACCATACCCCATGCCACTTTGGCTGACTGAGACTTTTCGATTCCTGGAAAACAAAAAAGGGAAGAACATTAACAGAGTATTTCAAATAAATCTTCAAAGTTAAACTCTTGCTCATCCATTGTCACCAGCCATTTCAGGAATGTAACTTTGAGTTTGTAAAGAAGAAATTATTGAGGAAAAAGATGCGGGAAATTATAACTTGCATTTTTTTGCATTTCACAGTATCTCGATGTTTACAAATATGGATACTTGGATTAAATGGACGGTTTTACTGATAAAATTAGTGAACAATGATCAGGTTACATCAATGATATTACAGATACAAATAGCACAACAATGTAAGAACTCTCGTGACACTCTGATTACAAAAGAATCAGACACTCTCAAAGGAACAAAACAAAAGGCCCTGCAAAATATGAAATGGAACACCCTTTGGATAAACATATCGGAGGAAAATGCAAGCGATATCATCGACAGAACTTTTGATTTTTCACTATGCTGATCCAAATTCAGAAAACCACTTTTCATGCTTCTCAATGTCAGCTTGAGAAACACTTCGCTGGACCTTCGCCAGGGCTTCTTCAAAGTCACACATTGCAACTGGATCCTTTGAAATCTCGTCTTTGGAC